GGGGGGGGGTCTCCTCCTGGGATTTCATCTTGGCTGTACTGAAGGAGGAGCCGGAAGAGGCAGGGAGGAGGAGGGAAGGGGAGAAGAGGAGGAGGAGGAAGAGGGGAGAGAGGAGGGGAGGAGGGGGGAGGAAGAGGGAGGAAGAGACGAGAGAGAAGAAAGAGGAGAGAGGGAGGGAAAACAGGAGGGAAAAGGAGAGGAGGAGGAGGGGAAAGAGGAAGAGGGGTCAGGGAAGAGGAGGAGGGGGAGGAGACAGGCAGAGGAGTAAACAGGAAGGAGGAGGAGGAGGAGGAAGACTAGAGCACTTCTCTGAAGCCGGCTCACCAACTCTTTCTCTGACCCCTTCCCTGGACCCCACAGGACTGACAGCCCTAGAGCACCAATCCCACAAAAGGACCCTCAGGAAAGAGGACCGCAGAGCTGCCTCCTGAGATAGCAAGAACTGTGGGAAAAGTGGGTTTGAAGTGAGGGGGAGGCTTTTGAGGGGATTCATGACAGTGTGCTTTTTACTGTAATGTTTTTAAAAATTTAAACATTCGCCGTATTTCCAATCACTGTCTATAACTTTGCCATGTGCAGGGAGGAGGGGAAGGAGAAGAGCCAAGGAAAAGAGAACTTCCTGAGTGGACCTTGCCCAGTGGGGCTCCCTCAGCTCTTCCCAGACAGTACACCATGAATCCCCACCACACAGGGGAGGTAGTTAGGGCCCAGGCCATCACGTGACACCGGAAGAATGCACTCCGAGGACACTCGAGACCACCCCAGAATTCATGGCACAATGAACATTCAGGGCAGAGCTGGAAGGCTGGGCTCAGGCCGTGCCCGGCACATGTGGGGCACAGCGTGGCTCAGCCAGGCCTGTGTTAGGCTCCACGCCCTCCCCAGGACCCTCCTCTGGTCAGTCTTTCAGTCGCTGTCCCCAGACACGGGTGGTACCACCCCAGTCTGTGGTCCAGACAGCCAGGACGGCAGTCAGGGTCTGTAGAGGAGCAAGGGCTCTACTTACTTCCTGCCTGGTTCTCAGGGCACAGGCCCTGACCACCCCGGGCTGCCCCTGCCCACCCGCAGATGTCCCTCCCTGTCCAGGCCCCTGGGCGCTCTGCAGGCGTGAGCAGGAAGCTCCAGGGAAGGCGTGGATCACATGTAGAGAGATGCATCCTCCCCACTGCCCAGAGAGGGTGACTGGGGGCAGGGAAGACTTGGAATGAGGATGCTCTGTGCTCATCCTCGGTTGTACTGAGAGCATTGGCGTGTGCAATCTCCAAGGGCCTCGGCCACCTCAGCAGGCCAAGGGGCACCATGGTTTCTCTGCCTTTCCGAAGCACAGGCAGCAGCCACACAGCCAGGCAGCTATAACCTTGTTCCTCAGAGTGATGGGGTGGCCTCAGCACCCCATCCCAAGTGGGCACAGCCCTGTGTGTAGTCTGCCCTGATTCTTGACTTGGCTGCCCGCAATGAAAATGTGGGAGACATCATGTCAAAATCCACACATCTGGTTTCTCCTTGAAAATGAGCCACATTAAAGCTAGGCATGGTGGCACTGGTCTATAATCCCAGCACTCCAGAAGGCTGAGGCGGGAGGATTGCAAGCTCTAGAGCAGCATGGACAATTTAATGACTTTCAAACAAAGAAACCAACACAAAAAGGTCCATGTTAGGTCTGAAATCCCTGGCAGAGTGATGACTGGAACTAGGGAGGAAGGAAGTTGTTTTTTGGAAAAGGCCCAAGCTTTCCTTCCCTCTTGGGGGCCTCTTCTTACCTGCTGAGTCTCAGTTTCCCCTCCAGGTCCCAAGGGCACTGCCTGGAAGTCACCTGCATGCACCACAGAGCACGTTTAGGGCAAACTCCATGGACGTCTGGGTTCTCCATTGAGCTCACCCCTTAAAAAACCTTAAATCTCCTCCAAAACAATAGCTTTCCATTTCATGAAAAGTCAGGGGCTGAGATCAGATCCCAGTTCCTGGATCAACAGTTTAGTGCTGCAGATCTTGGAAGGCCCCACCCTTGGAAGGGTTCACTGTGCACAGCCAGTTCTGAGAGCCCTCCCAGACCTATCCAGCTCAGGGCACCCAAAGGCCAGGGCAGAAAGCAGCCCCTCTGGCTGCTGTCTGGATAAAGCCCCACCAGGCTGAGGCTGCAGACAGCCTTTGCTCTCCTGTGAGGATGGAAATCAGCCAGGGGCAGCCATGGAGGCAGAGTGAGTCCCGGCCACCTCCCCGGGCCATGACAGAGAGGTCTGATTAGCAGCAGCTCGAGCTCAGGCCTGTGCGACCCCACCAAACAGGGAGAGCAGCTGCTCCTGGCAGAAGGAGATTTTACTTTCTGTTAAGTGACGAAAAGAAAGTGACATCATCTTTATGTCTCCATGGCCACAGAAGACACAGATGGGCTCCACCAATAGCCTCACTCTGGGATGCAGGACGCAGGGACCCACACTGCCTCTGACTTTCTTCTGAGGAAACTGCACTTGGCCTGGGGATGCTCCTTCAGACAGGGAATCACACTGTGACATTACTAGGGAAAAAGAACCCCCAGCCACACCTGCTAGGTAAAACTGAATCAAAACAAAACGAGATGGAAGATACCACTACATGGACCAGAAGAAGACGGGCGTGTTCCTGTTGTCAACATCAAAACAAAACACAGGAAGCACGAAGGCACACATCAATTTTGGTAACTGACTTAGGAGCTTTAAAAAAATCACTTAAAAGAAAAAAAAAGAAATAAAAAGACTCACTTCATCTTATTTCTATTAAGGTTTCTATAATATTATTTATCTGATTAGTTTTTTTCCCCCCGGTTGTACTAGGGATGGGACCTGAGCCTTTGCACGAATCTATTTTCCCAGCTCTTCTTAGTTTTTATTTTGAGACAGGGTCTTGCTAAGTTCCTCAAGTTTCCCAAATTGGGTTCAGAGCTGTGATCCTACCTCAGGCCCCCAGAGTTCTGGGATTATAGGTGGGTTACGCCACACCCAGCTCTGATTATTTCTTAAAATTACTTAAAAACTGACAGGGGGAGAAGAGTGAACCCACCTTTTAATAGAAGAAGGTAAAAAAGAAGACTGCTGACAGTGGGGCTGTGTCAGAGGAGGGGAAACAACAAGTCTAGTGCAAACAACCATTGAACGGGACTGAGCCTTGTGCAGTCGGGACATCATGTCTGGGAGGGCTCCTGTGGCAGATTTCTGATGCAAACCATACCCCAAAATAAATCCCAGGTAAAGAAGAGCTCCAGCAATAGACAGAAAGCGACAATCGGACTTTACATTCTCCTTTTGGGCGATGGGAAGCATCTCTTAGATACCACAGAGCTTACACACTGGGGAGACACAGGGCACATTCAGTGACACCAGCGTTAAAAGCCAATTATGCAATAAAACACAAAGCTAAGTTCAGGCCACAGACTTAAAAACGCTGTATGCATTAACTGACAAAGAAGAAATTAATTATTTTAAAAAGGTAAAACAATATACATTTTTAAAGATGGGCAAAGACTGCAAAAAGGCAATGCATAAAAGAAGAAATTCAAGCTGCTGTAAGCAGGCAAGATGGCTGTCCATCCTTACTAAGGAAAAGGCTGGAAGTCAGAGCCAGGGAGATGCCATGGATGCCTCTGCTAACCTCAAGGGCTGGGGCAGATGTGGAAGACAGAAGTCATAGCCATGGGGAGACTGCTACACTGGACAAGCCTTTCACAGAGCAGGTGGCCAATATCCTATAAAGTTGGACCGACTCTTTCTGATGCTCTACTAATTGCTCTTCTAGAAAACTCTCTAAGCATCAACAGACCGATGTACAACTTCCTGATAGTTTCCAGTCCTGAAAAACTGGGCCAACCTAGGTGCCCATTAGTAAAGAAATGCATAAACAAATGAACCAGGCCTGCAATCCACGGGTGGGTCCTGAATACAGGCCGTGGAGCGGAGTGCTGGGAATGGCAGCATTGGTGCACGCTGCCAGGATGAATAGGCACAACTGCACAGGATTTATAAGCTCCTGCATGTCTGGGGCGGCATGGAGATTGGGCGGCAGAAAACCCCAGTTGGGGTTTGGACACTGCGCCCTGGTATGAGTGGGTGGTGAGTGGGTCACTATGACCAAGGACCCTCCATGGACGCTGACATCCCTCGTTGCCCGTCCACGACTCACCTGGGACACGACTTCCCGGGGCCAGGCCCCTCCCACGAGGGGCTCTTCTGGTGCCCTGGTTCCGGGGTCCCAGCAGGCTCCAGGTCGCTGCAATCTTCCTGGTCTGTGGCCCACTTTTCTCTGGGCTTCAGGCCGTCGTGTTGGGAGTCCAGAGAGACAATGTCGGATGGGGAGCTGACCACCCCCGAGTCCTCTGTTGTGTCCTCCGATGCGAAGCAGCTGCCCACAGACACAGTCTCCTCGGCCTCGGGCAGGACGCCGTTCACACTGCTGTGGCTGCCGGGACTCCGGGGCAGGCTCACTGCAGGACAGTCAGGACAGGTGAGCTCAGGCCACACCCACCCGGCCACCTCCCAGAGTACATTCCACCCGCCCAGCTCTTCTGGAATGTGGACAGAGGGCAGGGCACTCCCCCAGGCACAGAGGACCAGGCTCTAGGACGGCTGCACGGGGAGCCACGCGTGTGGTATGGCTGGAGGGACAGAAAAGCACAGACTTCGACCAGTCAGTCCCGCAAATGCGTATTCCTTGTAAGACAGGCAAACATTAAAATATTCAACCTAACACAGGCACCATGTGACTGCTTCTGTTCTGATGAGTCACCTGGATTCCTAGAGTTGTTTTAAAATAAGGCCTTTTGTGAGCTGGGCCTGGTAGTGCAGGGCAGTGACCCAGCACTCTGGGAGGCTGAGGCAGGAGTGCTGCAAGTTGAAGCCTGACCTGGGCAGCTTATTGACTCATCAAGACCCTATTTCTAAATAAAAAGGTAAAAGAAAAAGCCATGGTTGTAGCTCAGTGTAAAGGTCTTGAGTTAGTTCAATCCCCAGTACCTCCGAAAAGGTTCTTTTTTTAAAATGAGGAAAAATTAGAGTTCTTAAAAATATAAAGAAATCTAGAAGTAATAAAACCAGCGTGGAGACTTCTGACAAACTGCACAGTCACATGGGCAATGGAGATGCTGTCTCTCAGCACTTGGTAGATGCTTGTTTCCTATGTGAGGCTGCAGGTTTGGGTGTAAACCAGAGCCAGCCTTAGAAGGAGCCGACGGTAAAATGCAGGGGTGTCTGCCTGCGGTGAGGATCTTGGCCCCTCGGCATTCCATGGATGTGGGCTGTGGAGGCAAAGAGAGGCCGTGCTGAGCTCCCCCAGCAGCCTGTCCTGCCAAGGCAAGCGGTGCCTGTATCCCTCCTGACAGGGCTGCGAGGAGGGCACAGTCCCCCCTCCAGTGTCACAGCCCTGGAACCACAGGAGGTGCCATGCCCGAGCTCCAGTCTGGAGGACAGGAATGCAGCACTGCACAGCTGGCAGGGTCGCTGCTGGCTAATGCAGACCCACTGTTAAGCTTTGGGACACTTTGGGGTATGGGGCTTGAACACCTGCACTGTCAGCCTGGAAGTAAAGACTGGGCCTGATACAGTCAGCTCGAAAATCACTGATGTCCTCCCTGGGCCTGGAGGCCATGGGTGCTTCGGGTGCCTGGTGTGATGGATGGTCAGGTGCTGGCCCTGTGCGACCCCTGCAACACCCTGTGTCACCCACTCTCCCCCAGACAGCACAGCTCGAGGAAGCCGAGGGAACCGCTCACACTCGGGCTTGCATACTAGATCCCCAACAAAAACAGGAGGACAAACACACAAAGGGACACACAGTCCACAGAAGAGCTGGACAGGATAGCAGAGGAGAGGAGTGGAGCGGGCAAGCGGGAGGAGCTGGAGAAATGCTGAATGCAGTGAGCCATTCCCGGGCAAGATTGCCCCACGTGTGCGTGCCCAGGGTACCCTGGTCACACGCTTGTAGATGTGTCTGTTTCCCATAAACTGTGCAACACAGTTCTCGGGTTGTGGAAGAGCCGTTCCTGACTGCGCCTGAACAGGGGACAGTGCTGCCCTCAGGGCCTCGCTCCAGTGGCTGTAGCACAGAACAGGCCCTGTGCTCAGGTTTCCAACCTGAGGACCTGGGCTCACCAGTCCTGCTGCCACAGGGAGGGGACAAACACTCGAGCAGGGCCACGCCACAGCAGGGACAGTGTCCAGCAGGAGGGGGCCGGTCATGGGCGACGCATAAATGTCAGTCCAGCTTGCGCCCTGCTTCCCAGGGCTGTCCCTGGAATGTGACACCACCTCACTTCCTCCAGCAGGTCCCCAGCCAGGCCCTGGGTGGGAGGTTTGGTGGCTCCGGCATCTGCCCAGCCCCCAACCCTATGCAGGTTTCCAGAGGAATCGGGCGCAGAGGAGGGGCTGGGCAGGAGAGCTGGGGGGCCTGCAGCCCACTTTCACCCTTTCTCTGTCAAGCTGTGAGTTCGTGGAGCTTGTCTGGGTGTTTGAGACCCCTCAGAAGTTCTGAGATCGAAAATGCCACAAAAAGACTGGAAATCTGGGTGTAAATTAGGCCAACTGTAAACCCTTATGTCAACACACCGAGAGAAACTAAAAAGAGTGTGGCTGAAAAGTACGATGAATGCTTACATTTTTACAGCATCTGTGACAGCAACAGACGCATAGCCACAAATCCTCCTCCAGGGACTCCCTCTCCTCTGCAGCACACTCTCCCCATGGTTCCTGCCACCTCTGTAGAGACTCAGAAACTCCCAAGAGTCTGTCTTTGGCAGCGCTGTCCTGGCTGCCTCACTGTCCCGAATGGATTTACGGCATTTCCCTTCATGGTCACCTTGACTTTGGGAAGAATCAAGCGAGCAGTTGAAGACCCTCAGGAAAGAGGACTCCAGAGCTGCTGCAGAAAGTGGCGAGGACGAGGGGACGAGTGTGTGAACAGTTGCAGTGTGTGTGTGTGTGTGTGTGTGTGTGTGTGTGTGTGTGTGTGTAATGTGGCTTTTACTGCAATAAACTGCATTTTATTTTTTAAAATTTTAGCACCTATTCATAGTACACAATTACATTCCTGGTGGGGAGTTTGTACATTTACACAGCATTTTACTCCTTTCTTATCTCCGTCCCCTACGTGTAAACAGTCAGCGTGCTCAGGTGTACCCTGGACGCACACACCATGGAACACTCACAAATGCCTAATGCAGGGTGCAGCTCCCAGCTCCCCGCACCTCCCCTGGGGCCCTGCTGGTGTGGTCTGGGGTTCACAGCCCATCGGATCACTGGAACCTGTGAACACAGGAGAACATAGAGCTCATTTGGCCACCAGGCTGGGGGTGTCTGGAGGGTTGCCCCCAAGTCCCCAGTTTCCACCCTCACTGCAGACCCTGGGGCTCCAGACTCAGGGATCCTGAGGCCCCAGCCTGAAATCTGGGCAGCAGAAGGTGGAGCACTGCACTAAGAGTCCACATCCCATCCTCCAGCCAAGTTCTGCTCTGCACATTGGATAGTCTTTTTCTCTTTCTGAAATAAGCGAGTTGATCCTGACAAGTTTTAGAATCCTTCATAGATCTAGAATGTTCTCTGACATTTCAGATCAAGATATGGGGTGTAAACATCCTTGCGCAATTGATTGGTGACTAATTAGGAATCTTAGAAGGCACACAACAAGCTGGGTGTGGTAGTATACACCTGTAATCCAGTATTCTGGGAAGCTGAGGCAGGAGGATTGCCAAGTTTGAGCCCAGCCTGAGAAATTTAGCAACTTGACCTTATTTCAAAATGACAAGAAAATTGAAAAGGGCTGGGGTTGTAGTTCAGTGCAAAGGCCTTGGGTTCAATTCCCAGTACTGTTAAATAAATAAATAAATAAATAAATGGAATATAGCAATCCCTTTATCCTTTTTGATACCCTCTGTCTTCCCTGGAATTGGTCATTACTTTTAAATTAATTAATATGCTGATAGGTTCAGTTTTCTCTTAAGGTGTGAAAGACCTTTTTTGAACTCAAAAGGTCTGCAGGATTTGCAAATGTGAAAACATGTGCCCATTTTAAGCACAATATAAACTGACGATGAAATTCTCTTCCAAACGAATTGCCACAGAGCCTATGGAAGGACTAACAACTCTTCCCCTGTTACCCTAAATCACAGAACCCCGAGTTCAGACACCACTGTGTCTAAGTGGGACTGTGGAAGGTTCTTCAGATCCAGGGCAAAGGGAAAAGCACCAAGGACCCCTGTACCTCACTCAGACATGCTCAACTCCCTGCTGTTTCATCAGAAGGCTTTCTTTTATAGTCACCACAGGGAATTTCAGACATTCAATACAAATATCTGCCATGGACAGGCGGGCCCTGACTTGCACGTGCTTGGCTTGTCTTAGTCACTTTCCTGTCACTGGGACGTGACATCTGATACCCACAGTGTAAGAAGTGGCTCCCAGTTTCAGTCCAAGGCAGAAACAAGATGCGGAGGGGCCCAGCGGAGGGAAAGCTGCTCATCCTATGGCAGCCAGGAAGGAGAGAGAAGGGAGAGGGTGGGAAGGAGGGTCACCCTTCCAGTCATCCCAGCAACCACCTCTTCCGTCTGCACCCTACCTCCAGCAGCACCCGTGAGTGCATTACCCAGGCTGAGTACGGTGTCCCTGACCCACTCGTCTTCCCAAAGCCCCATCTCTGAACACTTGAAGAGTCCTGAACAACATTCTAGATCTACACCACGACACTCACAGCTTTTTAAACCTGTAATGGTGCAGACGTGGCAAAAGTTTATCAGAAACCGTATTCGGAATTTTGATCACTACCAGGGCTAGAACGACCATGGTCTGATTTTCTCCCTTAGCTGGACGGCAATGGTGACAGCAGCTCCTGGGGCCACACAAGAGAACCTTTGTCCTCTGCTGCAAGTACCATGGTGCGAGGGTGTCCTGGGTGCATCCTGCCCACCTCTGATGTCCCCAACTCAACGCGTGACTGTCAGGGTGTGGGCCCCTTCCACATGTGCTTTTCAAATGGACTCATTTTTATTGTTATTTCACTAAATGCCAATTAAAAGTCTTGTTCCCTATCATATTGCTTGCAAGCTGCTCATTATAAAAGGAGATTTCTCCAAAGTCCATCTCCCCAGAAAGTGTGTTCCAGAGCAAGACAGAAAACTTTTGTGTTCCACACTGATGCCACAGAGTTTGCAGGACGCTCATGGAATGCTTGTCCCCCTCAGCCCATGCCAACTCCACTCTGAGCTCCACGGGGAGCGTGGGGCCAAGCTGGTACACTGCACTGCTTGATGCTTTTCCACAGGTTTTTCCCGAAGCCTCCAAGTAAATTTGAACAACTGCATTCCCTCTTACATTTTTAATCAGCATTGGAACATTTCCTCCAAGAGTTCCATGGGTCGCAGCAGATGTACAACATATTCATATTTTTATATAAATATTTTATTAAAGGTGCAAGCCAGGGAGCCCGATATCAGTATTT